GCTCCCGCGGTAGAGTTGACGCAGCGCTAAGAGAGAGCGGTCGGCCCGCCCAAGCGTCTCCACCTCCTCCATCCATCGCGAGATCACCCGACGAGACGTCGAGCTCGGGGGATCTGGCCGCGGGAACAGCACCACCTCGGACAGGACGTCGCGCCGTCGAGACATGAAAGTCCCACTTCGTCGTGCATTAGCTCACGTGGCAGGCGACGAAGATGACGACCGTCAGCTTCAGCAGAAAAGGTAGAAGAAGCAAAGGGCGCCGACGCAGAGCACGAAACCCACTTCAGCACGAGGCTGAGCGGCCCCAATTGACGCTCCTTGGTCGTCACGGCGGGGCCACCGCGCCCCCGTCCAGGTCGGCGCGCGCCTTCAGCAGCTGAGCGTCCCGCCCCATGGCCTTCTCCACCTCCTCCTGGGCACTCATCACCCGAATCGTGCTCTCGTCTGCCAGCTGGGGATCCAGCCGTCGAGCCGCCTCCAAGTCCGTCTTCGACTTCCAACCCTTGGCGTCCTTGGGGCGGCTCCAGTCGTCGCGGCAGTTCACGTTGCGATATGCTCGAAAGATGGCGTATCCCTTGCGCACCAGGGGCCCGAAGCTCACCAGATTGAGCAGCTCCTTCTGCCGATCCGTCATCAGCATCGTGTCCACCGCCGCGAACGTCGCGATCATCTCGCGAGCCGCGTTGCACTCCGTCAACCCTCGATCCCGAACGAAGTCGCGAGCCCATGCCTCCGCCGTCTTCCCCGAGGAGTAGATCTCCGACAGCACCTCCTCGGAGATGCGGCTGTTCCACTCCTCGGCGGGGATCCCCTGATACTCCTCCCACTGCTCCATGAGCACCTGCTGGGGCAGCTGGGCCTTGAACCGCATCCGCTTGATGGTCAGCTCCACGGCCTTTGGCGGGCTGGGTGCCGCTCTCTTCTCCAGCGTCTCCATCGAGATCGGCGCGGATGTCTTGGTCGGAGAGCCCAGCGCCGCCGACCCCTCGATAGCAGCTACCCGCTGGCCAACGCTCGCCTCGGCAGGACCGTCCCCCTTCAGGCGCGCCTCGAACTTGTCCAGACGAGCGAACATGCCCTCGATCACCTGCCGGTTGGCCTTCACCGCCGAACGATCCTTCGACTCGAGAGAGGACTCCAGAACATCTCGACGCCACTCCCTGGCCCGCTCCGCCGTTCTCATCTCGCTGATCTCCTCCATCATGGCCTTCTGGTACTCCGCAAGGTCGCTCAGCTGGGTGGCTCACGCCGCCGAATCAACACCAGGAGGCTGCAAGGGCGGCTGCAAGGGCGGCTGCATGGCCGACGCGTGCCCAGCGGACACGTCCACACAGGCCGAAGACGATCCGATCGACTACTCTCCCGGCTCCGCATGGTCGGACCATTCGTGCGCCGCCCAGCCCGTGAGGAGCACCATCGCCGCAAGCATGGCCAGCCAGCGCTGGAGCGGCACGACCTTCTGAGCCCACTCCTTCCACTCCATGAGGTAGCTCAGCCACTCCTGCACGACGTCCGAGCTCTCCACGAACGCGCCCTTCGCCGCGACCAGGTACCCCAACGCCACCCACACCTCCTTCATGTCCTCGATCACCCCGAGCAGCGCCAGCGCCTCGTACAACGCGAACAAGGCGGCCAACGCTCCCAGGAAACGCCTTGGTCTCCTCAAAGGCCACCTTAAAGTCTTGAGAGAAGACGCCCCTGAGCTGAACTCAGCGTACAGTACATTCACCGCGATCGCCTGCTGACCAGCACGTTCTGGGCGGTAGAGAGGGAGCGTCGGCACCGCTCCCGTCCGCAAGCCTTCCGTCGCCCGCTGGAGGTAGGCGTCGCGCTGGGACGCAGTCAGGGGCGGCATGGGCCTCCAGCGAATCCCGGCCACTAGGTCCGCGAAGATGGACGTCTTCGCAGTGATGCAGATCAGCCCGAGCCCCAAGTGAGGTCAGCACGGCCCAGATGTTGCTGCTCTTGCGCCTCACCTGCTGCACCTCCACTCCGTCGGTCGCCGTCTGTCTCTAGAACCTGCGCGACCATGGCTCAACTGGTTTCTGAGCCTTGACCGCGTCCAGCTCCTCGTCACTCTCTGGATCCACGATCGGGTCGCTCACCAGAGTGAAGAGCAACCACAGCAGCAGCCCGGGCGAGCCGCAGCCGAGACGCGCCGTGTCGCAGGCGGCCGTCGTCGTGCAGCCCAGCAGGTCGAGCGCCTGCCCCTCGAGGAAGGGGCCGCGCTCGATCAGCTCCCACGAGGAGCCAGTCGAGCAGCTCGAATGACCGCGCTGCTGCCACGCGGGGAGTCGATGAAGAAAACCTCTGGCTGGGCCGCGGGACTCCCCGCGAGCATGTTCGAGCCGAAGAACTTGAGAGGAGAGCACGGATAGAATTCGTAATCTTTAGGACGGCCCCACCTCACTTTGCACCGCCCCCGCCCCTCCCCCCCGCCAACCGATGAGAAGGCGGGGGTGGGGGAAGGTAAGAGGACAAGGGCCCGAAAACGTCATTGTATTCACAACGCAAAATCAGGAGCCTCCGCGGCGACCGCGAAGGCGACGGGCTCAGAGCGCTGCCGCGCTGCTGGGCGTAGCTCACTAGGCCCTGTATGCCATTATAGTTCTACAGACATGGAGCTGGCGCTTGCTGTTGAAGTCCATCCAGGCCAGCCTTCGGCAGGAAGCGAATAACCACCGCAAGCGCATTGCAGCTGACGTTGGTGATGCATTGCGCCAGCGCCAGTTTATGGGGCCTTTGCACGGCTCAGAGGCACGGGCGTCGATTCGCCTAAGAAGATGCTGGCAGCCACACCTCCAATGGTCAGGGCACCAGACAGGGCCATGGCAGTCGAACGGCACGAGATGGGTAACAGGTATCTGCAGTTGTTCCACTCTGCCGAATTTGCAGCGGACGTCTCGATCTCCCTGCTTGACCCTTACATCGACTTCTTCATACAGCTCCCCCAGCAGCATGCGTTGGCAACTGCCTGCTTCTCCCCGCGAGCTCGGGCGAGCGTTCCACCCCGCCGGGGGCTCTGGGCAGGAGTGGACGGCTTCCCGGGGTTCATCTTCAAGAGATTCGCAGCCCCATTGGCCAAGGCGCAGCTACTCCTCCCTCCTAAGGGGCCCGCTGGCACACCTGGCGAGCACAGGACCCCCCAATTGGACCGGAGGTAGCGGCGCACGGCAGCTCCATTTTGTCGGCGTCGTCGTCGTCGTCGTCGTCGTCGTCGTCGTCGTCGTCGTCGTCGTCGTCGTCATCGTCGTGGTTATGGTCGTTGTCGTGGTCGTGGTCGTGGTCGTGGTCGTGGTGGTGGTGGTGGTGGTGGTCGTCGTTGTCGTCGTCGTCGTCGTCGTCGTCGTCGTCCAAAACGCTTCTCATTGGGCGTCCTTGGGTAGAGCCAGACGGGCGCCCATGTGGGGCGCTCCTGGAAGGGCATCGCCTTGGGCACATCTCGCCCTCGGCGCGCGGCCAGCGGACGCCGGCGGAAACAACGCTGGGCCCCCGAGAGAGTTCTGGGGCGAGGCCGCGTCACCTTCGTCCCCGTGGCGGTGGAGGCGCACACTGGCGCTTGGGGCAAGAAGGCGCCCCCGCGCCATAGCCGCCCTGGCGAAGAGTACGGCTGACTCCACGGGGAAGACCCCGCCCTCGTGGCGGTGGAGCGCGCTCAACGAGTCTCACCACTCGTGCACGAGGAGACTGCGCGGGTGTTGCTCCGCAGGCTGCAAGTGCTGCTCGGGGCGCCCACGGCCCGGCTAGCCGCGGCATTGGCGGCGAATGCGGCGAACGCCGCGTGAACAGCCACTCTGCTATCCTTTGTCGCCCCCCGCCCCCTCGCCCCCATCCAGGGCCCTGAGCGCCCAGCTACCGCCGACCACGACTTGCCCACGATAGCCCGCGCCCGCCCCCTGTCGGTCCCCTCAGCCTGCTTGCTTTGCGCTGCCCCTGCCGCCCCTTTCCTCTTCCTTGTCCGCATATGTTCGCTGCGTTTCCCGTCCTTTCTTGCTCCTCCGACGACGAGGGCCAGCCCGCGGCGCGATCGCCGGCGGCATTTGCGCGGCCAGCCAGCCCGGCTGGGCCGTCTTTCAGCAGCCCGCGGAGGGCCAGGGGCGCGCGCTTCTTTTCCCTGTCGTCTCTGCTCCTCATCCTCCTCCTCCTCCTGCGCCCGCCGCAGGTTTGTTTCTCTTCGGTTTGGGTCAGGGTCTGCGGCCCGCTGGCCGGAGTGAGTGCAGCGCGAAGGGTTTCCACAAGGCAAGCATGGTCCAAAACCGTCGGGGGTCAGGCGCATCGACGTCCTAATTACCCATTTGGCGCCGCAGAAGCTAGGCCGGTCCCGCGGAAGTCGAAACCAATGTCCAGGCAGGGTCTTGTTGCGCCTGCGCGCGCACCTTCACAGTGTGGAAATGGAGCGGGACTTACGAAGCGTCAGATACGACGTAGGGGATCTCCCCCCCAAACCTTCAGTTTGGGCTGGCAACCACGGTGTTCCATGGGGTGCTAATTTTGGGGTTCGGTGCCTCCACCAGGCGCTCGCATTCACAAGCCAACCGATGTGTTACATGCTCTTCTTGTTAACATCCCTTCACGTGCCGTGTTTCATTGAGAGTCCCCGAAGCGTTCTTTCGTCCCAGACCCCTCCCGGACGGTCCCAGGGCGTTTTCAGCCCTGGGTCTCTATATTGTTAGACGAGTCCGCTTCGATGAGTAGTTCAATGCGCTGGAAGTTTGCGTTCCCTTCGTCCCCCCCGTGTCGAGGAAAGAGACAACAATGAGCATGTCCAAACTCGGCATCGACAACCACGATCGACACCGACGTTTCCGCGTTCAGCGTTTGTCATGGTCACCGTTCTGTTCTCCTCCCCCCTCGCCCTCTTGTTTCCTTGCGCCAGATCCTGGGGCTGCCCCTCCCCCTCATATCATCGTCCTCCGTCCTTCGTCCTTCGTCCCCGTCGTCGTGTCGGTGGAGGGCCGAGGGCGGAGCAAAGCTGGGGTAGCCCCTCCGCGCGCTGGGAGGAGGCCCTGTGCGAGTGCCGGCGGGCTTGCGGCGCCGGCGGCGGCGGGCGGGAGGCTTGCTCCCAGCCCCCTCGGAGGTTCCCTCGTCTTGCACGGGGAGGACGGCTCGAGAGGTGAGGGGGGCGGGGGAGGAGGGTGGGATCGGGAGGAAGCAGGAAGAGAAAGAGGGGGAGTAGGAGGAACCGTGGCGACGAGAACGCCTCATGGGGTCATGGGAGCTTCTAAACACAAGAAGAAGCCCAAGAATCTCGAAACTTGAAGTCCGCATTTCGTGCACTACGTCGTCCTCGCAGGGGAGGTTAGTCATGTTGCACTTCCTCGGAAATCGAATTCAGCATCGGCGTCGACATATGCTTTTACCGAATCCAACCTATCTCATTTGGCTGAGTCCCACTTTAACCCGATCAGTCGACCGCGACCCTGGGCCTGGTTTGGCTTATCTGCTTGATAGTTGTCTAATCGGGCTTATTTGCCTGTAGCCAGGGCCAATTTCGAATCAATCGATCCGATTCGATACCAGTTCCAGTCGGCTCGATCCAATTTGATTATAATATTGCGAAGGCCTTTCCGCCAGTGCCGCCGACCCTGAAAGGGGACGACGACAACGACGGTGGCGGTGGCGGCGACGGCGACGACGCTGACGTGGACCCGAGTCCTCAGAGATGGTTTCGGGCCTCTCTTGGGAAGACTCTCGGGGGCCTAGTGGGATGAATTTTGACGTTTCTTGGGAGCCTCCTGGGGGCCTCTTGGGGGCGTTCTCGGGTGTCCTGGGGGCCTCTTGTGGGTTTCTTGGCGCCTCTTGGGAACCTTTTGGGGCCTCCTGGGAACTTCTCGGGACCGAGAACTCGAAATGTCCGTTCGGGTTCCTCGTCAAGGCACGCTCTTGGAGACGTCTTGGAGGCCTCTTGGGCCGTCTTGGAGGCGTTTTGGGCTGTCTTGGGATTTGCGATCTGAGGGGGCCAGCGAGCAATCCTGGGTCGTCATGGACTGCAGCCTGAGCGATCTGCATGCAATTCTCTCGGAACGATTGGAGTCGAACAGTGCCTGTCGAGTTCCGATGTCCAGGTGGCGAAGCTCGGGAACATGATTGACGTCTTCGCACGGCGTCCTCTGGTAGACATGGACACCCTCGAGTCCAAGATCCTCGATGACATCGAAAACTTCTTGAAGACGGAGCGCGGCCTGGGCGTCCAGACCTCGCCGTCCCCAACGACAAGGCCGCCGCCAAGCGCGCGATCACGGCGGTGATAGGAAACTTTGACGGCCTCGCCGACCTTGAGACCGCCACGATCTGGCTCGGACGAACTCGCCTCCATGACGGCGCCCCCCCCACGCAAAGGTGTACAGCAAGGGCGCACTCAATGGCATTGTTTTCGCGGAGTTCGAACCTGGATGTGATCGGGATCTTGCTGTCGATGCATACCGGGGCGCTGGACTGTCCAGCGGGACAACATGCGTGTGTCCAGCGGACCAAATTGCGTGTGGGCCAGCCATGGCTGCACCATCGCAGACCGTGCGGCACGCAATTGCTGCTTTGGCTTGGAGCGCCTGATGCGGACCGAATGGGAGGTGCCGTGCAACATTTCCATCCCCGACGAGGCGCCGTGCATCTTCACCGCTGGCGGGGAGCATGCGCTGACGGTGTCCAGCGACGTCGTGGATCACCAGTGGCAGGGCGAGTGGGCCTCCTGGTCGGATCCCATCAAGGAGCTTGGGGCCAAGTGCCGCGAGTTGCTGGCGAAGATTTCCACGGGCATGAAGGGCATGAAAGGCGTGGCCAAAGGGCGGCGTGCCCAATAGGACAAACCGCACATGAGCAATGTTTCGCCTGTTTCACCCGCGGTCGCCAATATTGCGGAAGATAATTTGCACAGCGGGCGAATAATTCACGCCAGTCTACTTGGTGGTTCTTTTCCTGCAGCCCGTTTTGCTGCAGAGGGGCCTACATTCTCCGTGGTGGTCGTTTTCATTCTTGCGAGCGGCATATGCGAGTTGTTCATGGAACGTCGAAGGCTTGACAGGCGAAGCAGGTCGGAGGTGAGGGGGTGAGATCGAAGTGGAACGGAGAGCCCCCCTACCGGGAAATCGATTTCGGTTTCGTGTTCGTGCGTGCCGTGCGTGCGGGCGAGGCGAAGCTGCGTGGGCGGGCGAGAGGAAAGTCTCCTGTGGCTGAGGCGCGGCCGCACCAAATGATTCTCCACTGGGCGGCCGGTGGCGCGCGGTGTCCCGCCGGTGTCCCGCCGGTGTCCCGGTGGTGTCCTCTGTGGCTGAGGCGCGGCCGGACCAAATGATTCTCCACCGGGCGGCCGGTGGCGCGAAGTGTCCCGCCGGTGTCCCGCCGGTGTCCCGTCGGTGTCCCGTCGGTGCCCCGATCATGATGTTGATGATGATGATTATTATTATTATGATGATGGTGATGATGATGATGATGGTAATGATGCTGATAATGTTGATGATGGCGATGATGATGATGATGATGATGATGTTGATGATGTTGATGTTGATGATGATGATGATGACGCCGATTGCGAGATCGATTGTGATATCGGTAATGGGACCGAATGTGAGATCGATTGTGAGATCGATAGTGAGATCGATTGTGAGATCGATAGTCAGATCGATTGCGAGATGATGATGGTGATGATGGTGATGATGATGGTGGTGATGATGATGACGTTCATGATGTTGATGAAGATGGTGTCCCGAAGACGGGGATGTTGATGATGATGGTGATGATGATGATGATGTTGATGATGATGGTGTCCCGATGATGATGATGATGATGACGTTGATGATGATGATGTCGATGATGATGGTGTCCCGATGTGAGACCGAATGTGAGACCGGATGTGGGACCGAATGTGAGATCGATAGCGAGATCGATTGAGTGAGACGTTGGTTCCCCCTCCCCCTTCGCCTCCCTATCACCCGCAGGGTGGTCGTATAGGTATAGATGGAATATCACTTGAATGGTGCGATGCAGATGGGCTTTGTTTGCCAGAAACTCACGCGACAGGTTCTGCGTACTACACCACAGAGACAGGGTTCTCTTCATTTCTTCTTGGGGTCTGGGGGTGCACCGGCGGAGACGGCGGGCGCTGGTTTTTTGATCGCGCCACGCGTTCGCCAAGGCGTGGTTGGCTTCAGGCAAGAGACAGGCTGGCATCTCTCAAGCTACGCGTGCCAGGTGGGAAGGCCGCGTTGCGCGGCATCTACGCCTCGCGCACCGGCGAGCGAAAGGAGGAACGCCGGTTTTTCATGCGATGAGCTAGGCGTTTTCGCTGGGGGCCTCCTCCGCCACGGGCCGCTTTTCCGCGCGGGCTATTTCAATGCAAGTCTGCACCGGCGCTTCCCCAACGAGGACTCGTTTATGGGGCCGCTTGTGTTCGGCTCGCCGGCTGCCCAATGCAGCCCTGCTTCGAACCGCTGCCTGCTGGCCGAGATCTGCGCGAAATTGAAGCTGGCGATCGGCTGCCTTCAGATCGCCAGATCACGCGCTATAGTCTTGGGAAGAGCCGGGGGGGCGAGCCCGCTCCGGGCAATTTTGGCCAGATCGACTTTACTTCGGCGTCTTCGGAGCGGGGGGGCTTGCTTAGACGTGTCTCGAGCGACGGGGGGCGGGCGCTAGCATCGCGCCGCGTCCCCCTGACCGCAGACTGCGACATCGCAGTCCGCAGCGGCGAAGCCGCCGCCGCAGCAGGGCGACTTGACTTTCGCTCGGTCCGGCCACCGCCCATGGCCGCCGGTTTCGCCGAGGCATCTGCTTGCCGGATGGGCGGAGATTGCGCTCGAAATGATGATTCGTCCGCCAGCGAATTTGAGGCTGCTGCGGCGGCCGCCTTCCGCCGCGCCGCAGAGCAAGTTGCGCCCGCGGCGTCGTTGGATCCGCGCCGACAGTGGATATCTAGCCGCGCTCTGCGCTTTATCCTGCAGCGCTCTGGCGCGAGGATGGCCCGCGACGGCAGCGCGGAGAAGAGCCTTGGTCTTGCGGTCGAGAGGCTTGTCCACGAGGACCGCGCAGCGTGGCTGGGAAACTTGCTCGCCGCGGGCGACTGGGGCGAAGCGCGACGACTTCGCGAGGGGTTCTGCCCGCAGCAAGGCCAGCTCCGGAACCGCGAAGGGGGCGTCGTCGGTTCTGAAGCCCGCGCGGACGCGATGGCGGAGCACTTCGGCGAGGTGCAATGGGCAGCCAAGTACGCCGCGGATATGCGCGATGATCCCCTGGGCCCAGCCCATCCTGCCGACCTCGGCCCCATGCTTGACCGCGCGGTGGAGACGGCGGCCCGCGAGATGAAGTGGGGCAGCGCGCGCGGCCCGGACGGCGCGCCCATAGATTTCTGGGTGGCCTTCGCTGCGCCGGGGTCGCCAGCGAGGACACGGGCGACGGCGCGGCGCTCCGTTCGAGTTGTTGGAAGGACGGCGTGGCCCCAGGCGCCTGGCGCGAATCGCTGGCGATCGCAGTTTTTGGAGAGGGGGGCGGATCTCTGCGTTGGAACTACAGACCAATCTCAAACAGGGCTAGGATCGGGATAAATCGCTCCAGAGCGTTCTGGAGCGCTCTCAGAGCGTTCCGGAATGCTCTGGAGCGGCCGCGGCGCCCAAGACATCCTCCAAACCCGCCGATTCTCAGAGATTTCGAGATATCCCGATCCGATTTTGCCCCGATCTTCGCGTCGTTTTACAATCTATCTGCTGCGCGCCGGCCACAAGCACTGCGCCCCCATCTTATTGCGTCGCCCCCGGGCAGCCGGCGCCGAGTTGCGCGTCTGGCCGACGCAGTTCAGATTTCAGTCGCAGGGCGGAACCGCGGGCGCCATTTTCATGGCGAGGCGATTCCTGGGCGACGCGTGGGAAGCGAAGGATTCGCACCTCGTCTTCCTCGCGCTCCACTGGGCCAGATCTGTCGACGGCGTCGACCCCGAGGCCATGTCGCGGGCCCCGCGCCGCTTCGGACTGTCGGACAACGCGGGCCGCGGGCGCGATCTACACCGGGCGTCGCTTCGCCGTGCAAGACGCTGGGCAGACTTTTTGATCGCGAGAGCAGAAGGCAGATGACTGCCATGGATGCCCATTCTCTTCGATCTTGATCGCCATGGTCGCAGCGGCCCCCCTGGCCGATGCGACGCATGCAACGGGGGCGGCCGCGGGGGAAGTCGACCAACTCGCGCGCGCAGGCGACGCCCTGATCGCTGCCGCAAACGAGGACAGAGCTGCCTAGTACATGCGAGCGATTTCGGACGCGTGGCGCCAACTACGATCTGCGCCGCACTTGGCGCGGGGCGAAGAAGAGCGCGGCGAGCGGGGGGAGCGCGATCCGCCAGACACAATTGGGGGGGCCCGCTATCAAGCTGGGCCACGCGTTGCCAGAAGCGCCCCTGGCCCAAGGTGCCGCCGGGATTCCCGAGGAGGCCCCCGCGGCCTCCAAGAGCGCCCCTCACACGGCCCCGAGGGCCCCACGGGGGTTCCAAAGTTGCGCGACAAGCTGGGGGCACCTGGGGCCGGGGGCGCCTCTGCCAACCCTCGACGGGAAGGGGGGGCGGGGGCGTTCGAGCAGGGGCAGGGGCGAGGCCCGGGGGGGGCCCCGAACTGCCGCCCCGCCTCCCGCTTGTGCTGCCTCCGGCGCTGCCGGCGCGGCGTCAAACGACGTCGTGCTATCTCGAAGCCCGATGGGCAGCCGGTTGCCCAGAGGGCGAGCATCGCGCATGTGGGGGGCGTGCCATCATCCAACGGCAACGTCGACGCTCTGCTGTCGAAAAGGAAGGGCGGCGAGGTTCGAGTTCTACAGGCTCGCTCGCCCAACGGTATGGTAGCATTCTGTCCGCGAGCAAAACAGCAACTATTTACATCGCGTGCGTAATCTCAAAACCTTAGCACAGCCTCCGCGCAGCATGGTGGAAAATAACAGAGTTCTCAACGTTAGACGCTTGCCAAGCACGCTGCTTGCGCAAGGTATTGGGTACTCCGCACACTTACATAAGTCATGCGGCAAATGCTTCAGCTCCAGTGCTTGGCCAGGCGCGGCAAAGCCGGCTGAGCAATATCTCGCTGGGCAAAATTGCGCGCTTGGGCGACGGCCACCGCTTGCGCGAGTGTCTTTTCCTCATCCAGAACGGAGGACCTTCGATAACAACCCTCAGACCGCTGACGTGTCCGCCCCAGACAGGCGTGGGCGCGCGAGGTGCATAAACACGCGTTGCATGCATGCGTAAGAAATATTGTCAATGATTCAGAGATCGCTGCCATGCCGGCCAGCGTCTGGGAGAGCACGGCGCGAGAGTACAACCGCTCTCGCTAGTTCCCTTCCTTTGCGCACGTGCGCGTCAGACGTCAGTTCCCTGCCTCCTTTTCTTTTCTGCTTTCCCTCTGCCCACCTCCTCCGTGAATTGCCAAGTAACGTGGTCTTTTTTGTGGATTTGTGTGTCCTGAATGTTAGGGTCGAATCGTAAAAGCCCGAGTGTTAACCCAGGTCCGCCGCCGGCCTGCCTGCGGGGTGGTGTCGTCGTCTCCTCCCCTCATTCGCCGTCCTGCGTCGCTCCTCTGCCTGCTCTCTCTCGTGCTCGTCCCGGGGCTGTCGCCCGGTCGTCGCCCTTTTTCCCTACTCGCGGCTGTCGTTCCCTGTCGCTCTCTCTTCTCCCTCCCCCGGCTCCTGCTTCGTCCTGGGCCCCGGGTATTGTTTTTTTCTCTGCCCTCTGCTGTCGTTGTTCTTCCGGGTCGTCCAATTTGCTGACATTTTGGAGATGATTGGGCGGTGTTTGAAGATATGTGTTCGCCATTCTGTGCCGGTCGTGTTTTGCATGGCGCCTCGCTGCTTCATAACCGCGCCACCAGCAATGGTTATTGTTTCAGAAGCCGGTGCAACGTGCTCAGTTCCTCTCTTTGGGTTTCTCTTTGGGCGTTGAAGAACGGTCTTGGAAGCCTCTTGGGCCGTCTTGGGGCGATCTTGAGGGACTTTTCGGCTGTCTTGGGCCGGCGGGAAGCAGAAACAACGAAAACGCCCAAATCTGCCAAAAACCAATGAGAAAATAGTGAATTATGCCTCTTGGGGCCCTTTTCAGGAGTGGCTTTGGATGTCTCTTGGGGCTCCCTTGGTCACCCTGTGAGAGAATCTTGGAAGTCTGGGGGCCTCTCGGAGGTCTCGTGGAGAATTCCTGGGGGCTTTTTGGGGCTTCCGGGTCCGCGCGGGGTTCCAGGACCGCGCGGGGACCAGGCGAGGGTTTCGGAATCGCGCGTCTGGGTGGTGACACCCCCAGGACCCCTCCGTGGACCCCTCCCGAGGCCCTCCCCTCGTTACCTTCGACTCGACTACGACATTGCGAGGTTTTTCTCTCGCTGACAGGCTTGAGGAGGGTGCAGGGAAAGGGGGCGACGCAGACGACGACTGACGGAGACGACGACCCGAACAGACAAACCGTTCGCACACGCCGACAGGGGCAGCGGATTCCGACGACCTGATGCGGCCCGATGTTCGCGTGGCGTTGTTGTGTATCCTTGCGCTGTCGATCCGATTCGATTCCGATTCCGTGCCGAGGCATCCCGATCCGGCACGTTCCGATTCGATGCGGACTGACCCTGCCGAATCGTTCCCCGCGAAGAATTCCAAGGAACTGCCCCCCTGGGAAGAGAGCCAGGGCGAGGCGCCACAGGGGGGGGCCGCCCGCGAGGCGGCGGCGCTCTGGTGGCTGCTCGGGGAGCTGTTGGCCGCGCGGGCGCGGGAGGAGGAGGACGAGCCCGCCGAACACGCATCGCGCCTGCGCCACGAGGCACCGCCGTGCCGCCCCGCTCGGCGCTCCGCGCCAGGCCCGGCCTGGCGCTCCCCTGCCCCGCAGCGTCTTGCCCAGACACGCTCGCGTCGCGCCAAGAATCATGACGAGCGTTTTTCTTGTCGTTTTCGGTCTCCGCGGGACCTCGCCAGACCCCGGGCCCATCAAAAAGCAAGACACGGGATGCAAAGCCGGCCTTGGGGAAGGGGTCAGGTTTTCCCGAGGGCCCCGTGCTGAAAGACTCTAGACAGCACATGTCTGGATACTGACGGTCTTCGATTGCCAGGTCAGAGTTTTAGGGCCTCTGCGGTCCTTTCAGACATTCTCTTCGCCACGGCTGGGTTCTCCCCGAAGTTCCAGTCAGAACCCCTTCCATGGCAGATCAAGGGGTCGATTTCTGACACCCCTTGCGTCGTGAGACAGGCAACGATGGAAGACGTTTCGCCACCTCCCGTCTCCACGGCCGCGTTTGGGCTCCAGGGACCGTCAGAACTCTTTCGCCGGACGGACAGCCGGTCCCAGAAAGGTGCCGAGATGTTCGGGAGGGTAGTGATGTGGAGTGACCTAAATGGGGGGTCAAGAAAAGGGCCCTCAAGGGCCCCTTTATTTCTTCACCCCCCATTTAGGTCACCACCCATTACCATCCGCCCGAGATATCCTCGTCCATATCCGCAGTAGGCTTTGATACATCCATGCACCATGCCTGGCCAGGGGCCACTCTGGACCCCAGGATGGTGCACAGACCTCCTGTCCTCGGCCAGTAGGGCGCATGCACCATGCCAGGGCTCATGACGACTCTGGCCAAGTACGGCTCACACCTGCTTGCCGTTGCAGTTTCGAGTCGGCTCCTTGCCGCTCAGGGCACCCGCGCGATCCCTGTCCGCAGTGACTGTGCCTCCCGCGATAGCCCCTCCGCAGAAGGCACCTGTACACCACCATTCTGTCCAGCCAGGGCTAAAGACTCTTCTGGCCTCGGCCAGGAGGGCGCATGCACTGATCGGAGGACGCCATCTCTCTCTCTCTCTCACTCTCTCTCTCTCTCTCTATATATATATATATAATAGGCCGCAGCACCCACCATGAACCCCCCTTTTCTCTTGGAAGATGCCAAGAAAAAAGGGGGCGGGTGCGGTTGGAGTTTCGGGTGTCGCGTCGTGTTGTGGTGGTAGGATCTGGAGTACATGTGTGTGTGTGTTGGAGACGGAGGGAGCCTGTTGAGTATCGGGTGTTGTGTTGGAGAAGGAGGCTGTTGAGTACTGGGTGTTGTGTTGGAGACGGAGGGAGTTGAGTAGAAGGTTCTTTTCAAGTTCAGCTTGGGGAGGGAGCCTGTTGAGTATCGGGTGTTGTGTTGGAGAAGGAGGCTGTTGAGTACTGGGTGTTGTGTTGGAGACGGAGGGAGTTGAGTAGAAGGTTCTTTTCAAGTTCAGCTTGGGGAGGGAGCCTGTTGAGTATCGGGTGTTGTGTTGGAGAAGGAGGCTGTTGAGTACTGGGTGTTGTGTTGGAGACGGAGGGAGTTGAGTAGAAGGTTCTTTTCAAGTTCAGCTTGGGGAGGGAGCCTGTTGAGTATCGGGTGTTGTGTTGGAGAAGGAGGCTGTTGAGTACTGGGTGTTGTGTTGGAGACGGAGGGAGTTGAGTAGAAGGTTATTTTCAAGTTCAGCTTGGGGAGGGAGCCTGTTGAGTAGGGTTGTTGAAGTAGGGTGTTGTGTTGGAGACGGGGAGTTCAACAAGTCTTCCAAAAAAGAGCCTCAAAAGTGAGTCCGAAAATCGTAGGAATCGTATATAAATTCATATGTAATCATGAGCAAGGGGGGTTCTTTGTGCAGCTTGGGGAGGGAGCCTGTTGAGTATCGGGTGTTGTGTTGGAGAAGGAGGCTGTTGAGTACTGGGTGTTGTGTTGGAGGCGGAGGGAGTTTAGTAGATGGTTCTTTTCAAGTCAGCTTGGGGAGGGAGCCTGTTGAGTATCGGGTGGTGTGTTGGAGAAGGAGGCTGTTGAGTACTGGGTGTTGTGTTGGAGACGGAGGGAGTTGAGTAGAAGGTTCTTTTCAAGTTCAGCTTGGGGAGGGAGCCTGTTGAGTATCGGGTGTTGTGAAGAGTACCGGAGGCTGTTGAGTAGGGGTGTTGTGTTGGAGACTGTTGAGTGGGTGTTGTGTTGGAGACGGAGGGAGTTGAGTAGAAGGGAGCTCAACAAGTCTTCCAAAAAAGAGCCTCAAAAGTGAGTCCGAAAATCGTAGGAATCATATATAAATTCATATATAATCATGAGAAAGGGGGGTTCTTGGTGCAGCTTGGGGAGGGAGCCTGTTGAGTATCGGGTGTTGTGTTGGAGAAGGAGGCTGTTGAGTACTGGGTGTTGTGTTGGAGACGGAGGGAGTTGAGTAGAAGGTTCTTTTCAAGTTCAGCTTGGGGAGGGAGCCTGTTGAGTATCGGGTGTTGTGTTGGAGAAGGAGGCTGTTGAGTACTGGGTGTTGTGTTGGAGACGGAGGGAGTTGAGTAGAAGGTTCTTTTCAAGTTCAGCTTGGGGAGGGAGCCTGTTGAGTATCGGGTGTTGTGTTGGAGAAGGAGGCTGTTGAGTACTGGGTGTTGTGTTGGAGACGGAGGGAGTTGAGTAGAAGGTTCTTTTCAAGTTCAGCTTGGGGAGGGAGCCTGTTGAGTATCGGGTGTTGTGTTGGAGAAGGAGGCTGTTGAGTACTGGGTGTTGTGTGGAGACGGAGGGAGTTGAGTAGAAGGTTCTTTTCAAGTTCAGCTTGGGGAGGGAGCCTGTCGAGTATCGGGTGTTGTGTTGGAGAAGGAGGCTGTTGAGTATTGGGTGTTGTGTTGGAGACGGAGGGAGTTGAGTAGAAGGTTCTTTTCAAGTTCAGCTTGGGGAGGGAGCCTGTCGAGTATCGGGTGTTGTGTTGGAGAAGGAGGCTGTTGAGTAATGGGTGTTGTGTTGGAGACGGAGGGAGTTGAGTAGAAGGGAGCTCAACAAGTCTTCCAAAAAAGAGCCTCAAAAGTGAGTCCGAAAATCGTGGGAATCATATATAAAATCTCATATAATCATGAGAAAGGGGGGTTCTTGGTGGGTGCACAGGGCTATATATATATATATATATATATATATATAGGCGTATCGGAGTAGGCTGGAGGCGCTTGTGGCTGGGCCGCTGCCCTGTACCCCCCCCACGGGCGCCCCTCGGGGGTTCTGGGGGGTCCCAAAGCCTCCCGAGACGGCCCGGGCCCGCCCCGGAACAGGCCACGACTGGCTAAGGGGGCCCGAGGAGGGCTCAAGACGGTCCCGGGAAGCCCCGAAGACGCCCAATATACCCTCAAGACGGCCGACGAGGACCCCAACGCGCACCAGGACGGACTGAAGAGGCTCCCAAAGAGAGCCCTGGGAGGCAACACTCACTCAGTTTCCGATGTTTTTTGAAGGATTTTGGCGTTCTCGCCTTTCCCGCTTCCCAGCGCTCCCTCACGGCCTCGGACCTCGGAGGCCCTTCAGATTGCTCCAAGACGGCCCACGAGGCCCCGAAGAGGGCCCCGAGACGGCCCAGGATGCTCCCCAGACAACCCAAGCGTGCCCCAAGAGCGCCCCAAGAGGAGAAGGCCCAGAGGGGGACCGCGAACCGACATTTCGAGGTCTCTGGCCCTAGAGGCCCCCAGTAGGCCCCTGGAGGCCACCGAGAGGCTCCCACGAAGCTCCGTGAGGCCCCCAAGAGGCCCCCAGGGAACGCCCAAGAGGCCCCCCAACACACCCCAGTAAATCATGTCCTCAATCAGCCTTCCTGGGACACTCCGAAGTACCATCGAGCTACCGGAGAGCTGTCTGGGAAGCTGACCGGGAGCATGATTGATCGCTTTCTCGCGACCCTCCGCGGATCGTTTCGCACAGAGTTGCCCCAAGTGGCCTCTTGAACGGACGACGACGACGAAGACGAATTGACGACGACGACGACGACGAAGACGACGAATTGACGACGACGACGACGACGACGACGACGACGACGACGACGACGACGACGACGACGACGACGACGACGACGACGGCGCGCCCCAAGAGGCGACGACTACAATGCGACGACGACGACGACGACGACGACGACGACGACGGCACGGCCCAACAGGCCCCCAAAGACGCCCCCAAAGCCCATGTTCTCAGAAGGCCTTCTGGGAACCCGATTCATCAGGCCTCCGCCCCCCTACGCAGCCATGTTCCCCGAAAGCCTTCTGGAATGCGGATTTACATGCATGGACTTCTCACTGCCGATAATGCGTTCAGCGTTATCGGCATTTCTTCATTTCCCGATCAAGCCATGTGCGGTCCCTTCCTGCAGTGGAGCCGTGAACTGTTCAAGGCCTAGGGCCTGCTAGAACCTGAGCGCGCGCGGGGCGTGCGCGATGATTCTAGGGTATATAAAATACATCTATATACATATAATGGATTTATCTATATATTTGTAGATGTGTGTCCTTCGAGTGCACAAGTCTGGGCCAGGCCGAACGTGGGCCAAGGATGGGCCAGGATCGGAGCATTTGGGTTGTGTGCCCGGGCATCCGACGGTTTTTCTGTTTCATCCACGGGCCCGAGTGTTCCCGCTGGCCAGGATCGGTGCATTCAGGTGGTAAGCCTGGGCATCCGACTATGTTTTTTCAATCCGCGGCCCCGGTGGCCCCGACCCCTTCCCAGGGGGCAGATTTTCGCCCCGGATCCATGTAACGGAGAGAGCGAGGTACGAGTGATGACGTTCTAGTGTGGGGCAAAGCCTTTAAGGGGGGAGTGCAGAGGGGGGGCGAGGCGCGGACGCAGGGTTGGTAATGGCTGTTTTCGGGTTTTCCCTATGGTTTTTGCATGTTTTTCGGGTTCTCCCCTTTTCCGTCCCAGAAGGGCCCCAGACGGCCCAAGAGGCCCCAAAGATCGGCCCAAGAGGCTTCCGAGACGCCCCGAGAGGCGCCCCAAGAGGCCCCCAAGAGGCCAAAATCATGGATTCCCCATATGAAAACGTACATTTTTAGCATCGGAGGTTGGGGGGTGAGGTCGCAGTGAGACGGAGACCCCCACCGGGAAATCGGTTTCGTGTTAGTGTCGTGCGTGCGGGCGAGGCGAAGCTGCGCGTGATCCTCCTGTAGCTAGGCCGAAGTAGGAGCGAAAGTCCGTTTCCCGTCCGCCGGTGGCCGGGATGTGTCCCAGTTGGGCCGGGCGGTGTCCCGGGTGTCCCAGGTGTCCCGGGCGTCCCGGCGCTCACGCATGTCGCTAATTTCATAATTCATGTTTTTCGGCGCCTGCGGCGGGTTTTCTTCTCCAATCCAGCTTATCTTATCCAATCCATCTTGTCCAATCCAATCCATCTTATCTTATCCAACCCATCTTGTCCCATCTTATCTTACCCCACCCAATTCAACCCACCCAACCCAATCCATCAATTCATTTGTTTCTGCGCCTGCGGCGGGCCAATCCAATCCATCTGATCTTAGCCAATCCATTTCTTCCAATCCAACCCATCTTATATTATCCTATCCATCTTATCCCATCCAATCCAATCCACCCAACCCAATCCATCAACTCATTTTTGTCGGCGCCTGCGGCGGGCTTTCTTATCCAATCCAGCTTATCTTATCCAATGCATCTTGTCCAATCCAATACATCTTATCTTATGCAAGGTGTCAGGCTGGAGGTCAGTCAGGGTGGGCATTTGATTTCAATCCCCCCAAAACTTCGGTATCGCCCGCAGGGCGGTCGTATAGGAAAACGATGTTTCGGTTTTCACGGCGTTGACGACGGCCCAAGCGGCCCCCAAGATCACCCCAAGCCGGCCCAAGAGGCTCCCAAGAGGCCCCCGAAACGGCCCAAGAGGGCCCCAAGACGGCCCAAGAGGCTCCCAAGACGGCCCACGAGGGCCACAAGACGGCCCCAAGAGGGGGACCACGAACCCGAAAA